AGCATAGAATGGTCAGAGGCAGATTTGGCACAGTTAGAAATAGAGGCTTGGGGGTGGCAATTTAGCCAATCTTCAGATGCAAATCCCCTATCAAGCTTAGCCTCAATCAAACCTTCAGCAAGTCTATTATTGCACCATGTGAATTTGTAGCCCACCATTTTTATTTCCTCCATCCTCATGTGGTTAATAAAGGTGTTAAAGCCAGTCAGACTGAAAGGAGACCTGAGGTTTCCTCCTGATTTATCTTCATTTCTGCGGATATCATTCCAATCACCCAAGATGTGCCACATATGACCCCAGGAATGTTGATCAATCTTCAATTCTTCCCATTGAGCAAGTCTGATCTGAGGGTTGGTACTAATGTAGACAAAGATACCCCAAGTTGGTTCAGAGTCTGCCAATTTATATTCAATAGCAATGTAAAATGATTTTTTGACTACTTGGATCATCTGCACTTCAGCAGTCCAGCAGAGAAGCAATCCACCACTAATCCCAATGGGGTCCACCAAGGAATATCTGTTTTCAAATCCCAGTTTTCTAACTACAGACTTAACAAAAGGAATAGCTGATTTTTTGGTTTCAGACAAAAAAGTAAAAACAGGGTGGTGAGTTCTAAGAGACTCTCGGATTTGGGAAATTGTAGAGGGCCCACCCAGCCCTCTACAATTCCACACCACAGCTAACATTGGTCACTGGGGTGCCATTCAAGGCTGGCAACCCCCACCTTCTCCACATTCTCAGCTAAAGAAGAACTATCATTCACCTTAACCAACTTTGCACTTTTAGAAAGATCAAGAGACTCACCATCTGAGGAAGGCCTTTTAAAACCAGAGATATGATCAATAACAATAGGAGTAGATGGCTCCCTTTGTAATCTGCCCGATTTTGAGCCAAGTCTTTTCCAAGTCCTAGTGAGAGGAACTGAGAGCTGCATCTGTTGATCAGCCAAGTTAGGAAGATTATTTTCTCCATATTTCTCCACTGCCATCACTGTAGAAGGATCCACCAACTGAAGTTCTGATTCCACAAGGGCCTCTTTACTGGCTGATATTTGAAGTGTAGAAGAGGTAGAAGAGGCTGAGGCAATCATTCCAGGGTTTAAGGTTATTTGGTTCTTATCTTTTTGGGGAGGTGGTGTGAAAGGCTCCTCCCTTACCTGAACAATCTGGGTGCTTTGAACTGCTTGGCTCGATGAAGCTTTCTGAGAGGATCTTTGTTCTGAGTCAGAATGAGAGTTCACAGGAGGAGAGTTCCTGGAGCCTGAGAGATTAGTACCCACCCACTTGTAGCCATCAGTGACCCTTAGCCAGTCACCATACTGGCCCTCCTTTAAAGAATTGTTCTTGATATCCAGAATTTTCTTGCTGCAGGTACGGTCTAGGTGCCCAATCTTTCCACAATAGTGACACAGGTTAAAAAGCTTTTCGTATTTGAATCTCACACAAACTATTTGATCTCCCAATCTGATCTGAGCAAATCGTGGGATAGGTTCTTCAAGATTAAGAGTGACCAGAAGACGAAGTAATTTACCTCCATGGTTACCTGTGTTGACAATAACCACATTAGTGACCTCCTTGAAGGCTTTACCAATCTTAATCCCCACCTCTGTACTCGTCCAGTTTAGCGGTAAGTTGGCAACCTGCACCCATAGGTTAATTTCTTTGAAAGTGGGATGTTGGCTGTTCAACTGATGAATCCATTCTCTGAGAACCAAGTACTGATTTTCAAAGGTCCAATTTGAGCCACTGGCTACTCTCTCCTTGTCCTCCATACTATCAAATATGAATTGAAAATAGTTTGGGCTTAGTTCCTTGACGTCCATCGGCTGATTCAGCTTCCAGATCTGGCTCATAGCTCGTTTAATACCGAACCAGCCCGCCGCCCTATCGCCTATAACTTTGCCGAACAAGCTACGTTTACATTCATCATCGCTAATGCGAATATCTCTTTGAGCAATATCAATAACATTAACTTCCCTATCCGATAAGGAGAAATCATGAAGAAGCGAGGAAAGATCATCATCGTCAGAGGTCTTAGAGCTACTCGCCATACTGGAACCCTAGGAGACGAAAATACGAGAAAAAAGGGTCAATAGATGCCGGAAAACCCCAGAAGAAAGGATCTGATAACAAGAAACAAAAAAACTAGTGGAGAAAGAGGAAGAAACAGAAACAATGGAGGCTCTCAGCGAGAGAATCTAAGTTCACCAAACTTTACCAGTCCACCCTTATCCGTTAGCGTTCAAAGTTTGGTAGTAGTCGATAGTATTACATATCACCAATTGCCTTTGATCTATTTTTTATTTTAGTATTTTGATGACTACTATAAAAGTTATAAGTGTTGTATATACTGGGAAAAATAGACGTATTATAAAAGAGTTTTTCACAACACATAGTTGCCAACGTAATTAAATGAAAATAAGTTGAATTTGGTTAGATACTACAAGTGTGACCAAGATTAAAAAATAAAACTGTAAGAGATAAATACAAACATTACATGATCTCTCTATTGCCAGCCCACACATGCATGGTTCCATTTCACATTACTTTATGGTTGATTTTTTTTTTTTTATTTAAAACGATAAAGATTTTGTGTAACTAAAAATTGCACAAAGTGCAAAGAAAAAACAAGCAAAAGCTGAAAGATACAACTAAAGGCTGGAAAGACTGAGACATATTCGAAAATCGCCTACAGCCTAAACTAGCAACGCTAGAAGAACACACTAACGACAACACAAAACACAAAAAGAAAAACCAGTAACTCTTAAATAGGAGACTAAAACGATCCCAACAAGATAATACCGAGTGAAACGAACCCAACAGGATAATAGCCGCTCTCACATGGGCATAAAACAGGGGCCAACGACCAAAAACAAATCCTATCAAACAAAGCAAACGGACAAACACACCTAAAACGAAACAAAACAATATCAACTAACAAAGATTCCTTCCTCAGTAAATCAACTGGACAGAGCCAGTGTACAAACAATCGACCCTTAGGAGACATCCGTAATCAGAGAAACCGTCGAAACTGCCAAAAGGCCTATCTGAAGCGGAAACCCGAGCTCCAAACCTATCCTGAGAGCAGACCCAACCTAGTTGCAGCGGCTAAAAAAGAGAGCATCAGTTGGCTATTTTTTTCAAAGTTGACTTCAGTTTGTAACCTCATTAAGACATTGCCAAAACGTCATAGCGAGTCATAACCACCCAAGCTATTGAAATTACAAATATGGTAGCCATTGGTCTTCGCGACACATGTAAAATTAATTTTTCATTCTATTATAATCACAATGAACTGGAATCATCTTGAATTTCCATTTGACTTTTTATTTGTTTTATGTTAAATAGGTACAAGAATTAACCAAATTGGAACTTTGCAGTGAGTGGATAAAACACGTTGAAGTTTGCATTTTGAATCCATTTGCAGTATGATAGATATGTACCATTCTGTGATTATCATGTCGGAGCATATGACGGAGGAAACATCTTCTGATTCTATACATGGTGAAGCTATAGGTGCTTTAATTGCGATGAGATCATTTGATTTTCATATTTATCTTATTTTTTATGCACATGATTATGGCGATGAAATATTTGCTTTGTCAATCATTGCAAGAGAAGTCTTTGGATATTTTAAATGCAATGAATTTTGTGTCAACTACAGAATTTTTGCATTGAACACCTAGGGAATAAGGCTTTGATATTCTTCTTACGTACGTGCAATCTTTTCGTGAAGAAATGGTATTGAGCCCCCAGATGTGAGTGCTTGTCATCGTTCTTCTAGAGGGCGTTCCTGCCAACTGAAGTTTCCCGAAACAATTGAACATCGTTATCATTATGATGTATTCAATGCGGCGATAGACTTTCAATTGGAAGAGCTTCATAGCAGATTTAATGATGGGGCTGTGGAACATCACCGGCTCTGCATTGGAGCCTCGAGATAACTTTAAGTTATTCAATTGCGATGATAGTTATATTATTGCCGAGAAATTCAATCGAAATAATTTTAGTGGGAAGAGCTACTTATTTGAGGGGTCAGTTAGAGCATTATAAGTTTGATGTTCAGCATAAGAGGTTCCAAAATATTTCTATCTTTTCTAATTTATGTCGAATGTTAGCAGAGACGCAAAAGGCAAGACATTATCACTTAATTGACATATTGATTCGCCCCGTTCTGACGCTCCCTGTTACTACTGCAACAATCGAACGATCATTTTTAGTTATAAAACTTCTCAAAACCCCTCTCCGAAATAAGACGGAAGAAGATTTCTTAGCGGTTCTATGACTGTCTACATCGAAAGAGAGTTTACTTCAATGATCGAACATATTCAATAATTGACGAGATTTATAGCATGAAGAATATCACATCATGGCACACCTTAAATAGGTAACAATTTTTTTTTTTACATTTTTAAATAATTGTAATGAACATGAAGCATTTTTATATGCATTTGTTAATTAATAATAAAAAACTTATTTCCTATTTTTCCTTTATAAATTTTAGCAACCGATCAGCTCAAGGTATTTTATTTTTATGGCTACGCCCTAAGTAGATGTGATGCTAAAGAACGATTGAGCGGTATTACGTATTATACAGATAATATTGATGATAGTAGGATTGAGTTAAAGTTAGGTTAGATTTTAAGTTAGATGGAATTTTGGGTCACATTATTTATATGCAAAATTAATGCTTGGACTCATTCTAAGTTGAATTTTAATTGGTGTGACAGTAATTAAGCGAAGGCACTTCAATTGCTCATGCATCATGCTATTTCAGCGTACATAAATATATATAGCAGCAGAGTAACTTACTCAACCTTATTTATTCATTGGTGTTACTCCCAAGCTAGTAGCTTTAATTGTTTATTCCTCTCATCACACACACTCAAATCAGCCAACACAGCACTAAAACTGTGTACGATACATTACAAATTCACATTCAATTTCCACACCAATGCTTATTGCTAGCATGCGATGACCATTTTTTATTCAGTTGATATATCAGTAGCTCCGGCCGCTGGCCTGATTAACGATAAACGGCACCTCATCCGCCGACGCGGGCACAGCCACTGGCCTGATGTTAACGATAAACGGCGCCTCATCCGCCGACGCAGGCACAGCCAAACGCCTCGAGCGCCCATCCGAGATGACGGTCATGTTCGCGCATTGGTCCGCCATTCTGCACCTTTCGCACGCCAGGCAATACTGGAAGTAGAACCAAGTATTCGGGCCCCTCGGGCCGTACGGCTCGAACTTGAACCAGTAATTCGGGTCCTGCCCACTCGGGTTCCCGAGTACACCCCCAGTCGAGAGGGTGACCCTCCCGAGGGAGAGGTCGGCACGTACGCCCAACACGATGCCCTTCTTGCACTCTATGGGTGAGGTGGTGAACTGGATCTTCTGATTGGCCCGGGCGTTGATGGGCCCGTCTGGGCGGAGATCGGACGGGTGGAAGGTCACGGGCAGGCCCGGGCTGAGATCGGAAGGCATCTGAATTACGTCTAGTGGGCAGCTGTTGAAGCTCGGGATCATCAGGGAGAGGTCGCCGCCGGCGGCCCCCCGGCCGATCGAGGAGATGTAGTAAGGGACTCCACGGATGACGGGGTTTCCGGTGGTGTCGATGAGTAATTGGGCGGCGGCACACGAGAGGAAAAGGAAACAGGTGACGAGGGAGATTAAGTAAGAGGTGCTCTTCATCATGTTTGTGATTTGTTATTAGATTAAAAGATAAATGTGGCTATGGAGAATTTTGTGTTGTGATTTGTAGAGGAGAAGGGTCGTCTCGTTTTTATAGGCCAATTGCTCAGTGAAGTGGCTTTGAGATATGAGGCGATGAATTGAATGGCATATATTGAACACACGTGGGATTGATCACTGTTTCGTTAACGAATCATTCCGTCACTTTTTTTAACGATAGATTATATCCTCTACACTAATCTACACATGTATATATACCGGTTAAAAATACTG